AGTCCTGTAACTCCTCAATCTTTCATTGCAACAACATGAACTATTTAACACCTCTTTGTCGAACACAATGGAACAATGGGAGTCCCGCAGGTAGACAGTAATTGTGTTTCCAGTGAAGCTTGGTTTTGTCACGTTCTCACTTCCTTTCTTCGCTGTCTATTGGCACCTGTTCACATCAAGTCATCACTCTACCTGCACAACATGCTTTACTATAAGGACTAAAATTAGGCACGTTTGTTCAGTTCTTCAAAAGGTTAATGTAAGAATGAAAAGGATATATTTAGATTAATCACATGTTTAAACGTTCGCAAGTAAAATTGAATAATTCAATCTGCATGAATGTAAGACATCACATTCACTGACACGTTCAGGCGTTAATGGTTCTTAGTCAGACGAGATCAATCTTACAAAACTACATCAACACCGCTTCAGTCGTGCCGAGTGAACAGAAAGGCTTGATAATAATTAGTCGGGGCGTTTTGGGCCCAATAGTCATGACAATAGGGTATATCTGGTCTGTGTTATTGATGGTTCTGGTACAGATGAGATGACAAACGTTTCATTAGGATCAGATGAATCCGGGATGGAATATCGGCGTGTTCCGGCAAAACTATACCTCTGGGCTTCCTCTCACGTGGTGCATTAAACATGATGTAGTTCTTTTATCGATTGTTAATCGATCTTTCCCCACAGGTAATTTTGAACAGCGTAACGGTCTCACCCTCTGCGGGAAGGGACCTTCAAGGCGTCAGGAAGAACATGAACAACATGAGTAATAACACCGCGTTTTCAGCACCAAGGGCAGGGGTAATTAGCATACTTACTAACGGGACCTGCCTCCTGGGTGTAAACAGCTAAATTGGATTGAATTTGCATCTCCATAATCAACACTACATGTTGCTTTGGTTTACCTGCTGATCTAGCCGAGCCTTTCATTTCTACATTCGTCTTTATTCAGTGCAAATTACATAAGGGTGTCAGTGAAAAAGGTAAGGTTCTTCCTTCTGTTCTGTCCTTGTCACTTAGCCTCTACCAGACTTAGGAAGACGGCTGGAGAGAGCACAATTGGCCAAATAGAGAGATAAAACATGCCGGGGAGTTGGTTCGCTAGAGAGTACAGTTTGCCACACCCGGACCGCCTCCCAAAGACTGATAGAGGCTACTGGGCACTAGCTGTTTAGCACATGGGACTGCAATCCAGAGTGAGACAGAGTCTATCCCGAGAGAGACTAGTGAGGTAGAGACTTGACATACGGCTTTGACACGCCACCCAAGTTTGCCTCTTGACCCACGAGCAATCACACATAATGTTTTCTAATGGCGGATCATATCCCGGCTGACCCGGCCTCACTTCTCTCGCCTATTGTCGCTAAAGCGGCCCCGGTGGCAATCAATCCAGGCATGTATTATTCATCAGGATATTGTCCAATCCCAGGCGGCAGATGTGTAGTTTTACGTGGGGAAGATTCGCTCGTAAAGCTCCGTGACTTTCTAATTAAAGCCTTCATAAAGCACAGAGTATCGTATTCCGGTTCTTTCCGGGCCACAGGTAATTTGTGTGTCACACCCACGTTCCTTCACTGCGCTTTTGAACCGCTCGAAACTTGTTTTTAATCAATTTCTTGTTATCAAGATTAGGAACAAATCAAACATTGTCCGGGTAATAATCATGTATAGTTTCTACACTAAGTTGAGGCTATAAACGCCCCTTCGTGCCTCCACCCACATCACAGGAACGATAAAAACGGCTGATTTGTGTAGGAGGGATGAGGGCAGAACGGTACAGACAGCCAGGCTCACACATAAAAGAAGCTTAGTCGACTGTTTTGCGTACAACTGTGCGCTTTGATATTCAACACGACAGCGCTTTGCTGTGGGGGTAATCTTCAGTCTGCAGATTGTTACAGTATTTGGGAAGGCGATGGCGACACATTGGCGACACCGTTCCCGTTTTCTATTTCCACTAAGGATGTATATTTTGACCTCCTATGCCATGATGGTAAAAGTAAAATTGGGATCTTTCGTATACCAGAATTTAGAGTTAGAGTCAACACTTCGACTAGCGTAGTCACATATTGTTCTGGAATTATAGACACATGTCGGTACATTAACCTTCAACACACCACACAATGAAAAAGGGAATAGTCCATAACTCAGGGAGGTAGATACAATGTATCTGTTCGCAGATATTGCTTTCTAGTTTTGATTAATTTGAGAACACCTTTTTTGTTCCTCCGAGCTTTGGAGAATGTTATTGGAAATGTCAGGTTGGAATATATCTGGATCACTGGAACTCAGATCCTTGTCTGGGCCACTCATCCAAAGAGTTGGAAATTTCATATATCTTGGCTCCCTAATTATGTGCCCAAGGGAAGATTTTGAAATAAGAAAAGCCCTAGCATGGGAAGCAAGCAAAAATTGGATATAATCTTATCTGGATATCAGATATTTCTAACAAACTGAAGGTCCAAGTTTTTCTTAGCCTTTTAGAACCTTTAGTATTTAATGTACAAAACTTAAATATAATTTAAAAAACAGTCTAGGCCGAGTGTTTTTATTAAAGGTTTGGAATACAGTCTACGATGGACATCTTTGCATCTCTCTCAGATTTCTTTACAGATAAGCAATCAGGCAGAAAGCCTTCTTCGGGAGTCGAGATACTACTTATTATTTACGCATCAAAGAAGTTCAGCAGTCTATACGAAAAGAAATGAAAGAGGTCTTTCTTGTCTAGACATCTTCGGTGTTTCTTACGCTCTTTGGGCGTTGCCATAACAACTTGTCAGGCTTTAATAGAGTTTTAGAGATGACTGTGCAGCTACAGTAGTTTGAATTATGCCTACATTATCCCCCATGATTAATTGATCAATCTTTTACCTTATCGCATCACGGCTTACGGCACGCATGGTAGGCAGCAGCGGCGCCCAGCCAGGTGTAATCCTGCGGGATTACCGGCCGCGGACTTGGACTCTTTAATTGTCTGTGGCGGCTGGAAGACGACGGTAGATCGGCTGTAGCAGCCCGGCGTCCCAGCGGACTCGGCGCCGCCGGCAGCCATCCGTCATGTGCCGTGCGGGGACCAAGCCCGAGAGGCTGGTCTTAATTGATGGTCACGCATGTCGGGAGGACCAAGCCGCAAGAATCAAGCTTTTACTCGAACGACACACGCGATATAGATCATCTTGGAGAGCAGATAAAGATAGCTTTGTATCGATCCTGTACCTGCAGGACTGCCCAGGTCCCGTCTGCTGTCTCAGGACGGAACGGCAAGACATGAGGAGTCACCGGGGTTGGAAATTGCGGGAGGAAGGAAAGCCCAGGTGGCCGAGATTATCTCATGAACCACACGTTTAGACAAATTGTTGGCTTATCAAGATTTTGCATAGCCATAAATTTCAACCAGTATAGAACAGGCTGAACAGCAGAACATTTGATACACTTTTGAATTTGACGGGTTTGACTTGTAGATGAATAATAAGTTGCAAAGTAGTCCCTTTGCGTAGAAGTAATAACGCCTCAGACTGGCATAACTCAGGCTCTGCGGCGTTTAATCTGACAAAGACGAAGAAGTTGTTTTCTAGAGAGGCAATGCTGAAATGTCAAGTTCCCTCCACAGCAACTCGCACAGACGGCAGGCTGTATACATGCAGCTCCGCGGGCACTAAAGGGAGTTTTAATGAAGCGTTGTCTCGCGTACGGCGGTCTCTGGGCAGACTTTATACCCAGTGTTGCATACAGATTAGAGACATGTGTAAAGCCAGGGTCAAGTGAGCACATACACAAAGCACCAATTCCTGACAGCCGCTGCATTTTAATAGTATGGCATAAAATCCCCCCAGTTTCTGTCGTACAGAAATTAATGTGCGTGCGAATGCCCAGGCTTACGTGGAAAGCACATAAATGACAAAAACGCAAAACATTTCTAATCAGGCTGGTGCACAAGTGCCCAATTTTAAGGGAATGGTTTCATGCTGATAAATTCTACTGGGCGTAAAATATCAAAAATCTCTAATTGATATGGAAATTCCAAAAGAAGGCGTCGAAATGTGATGTACCTTATGTCGAAATTTCTGACATTTTCATAGTTGTGACAAATGGTTGTAGATAAACACTGTATTTTATTTCGTTCAAATTACCATGGCTGAAATATTATGTTAAGGTTTCCACTCTGTAATTAGTCAATATCAATGGGCGAAGGTAGACTAGGATTTAACAAGGATAAGAGCCTATGCAGGGTGATAGACACACCCGTGGCACGATCGTGATCTTCTAAGAGTTCATGCCATTCAAGACGATAATCAAGAAGCTACACATTAGCAACAAGTGGATTCACGGCCACACTTCTTCAAGAGGGAAGAAACATCTATAGGTGAAGGTGCCTTTATTCTGTCGTGGCTGCACATCAAAGTAAATGTGTTCTAATGCAAGACAGGCTGAAGAACGACAGTGTCAGACTGAATATAGTCTTGATTAACAGCGAGTACAAAATATGTAAATAGTTCGGAAAATGAAACCGTAGTCATTGATGCATAGTGGAAAATATAATATACAATTTAACCTGCTGTTGAAGCAAATTGATAGAATTCAATTAACTTCCGAATTACTAAAACGTCTTGGAAAACTACTTTTCTAACCGTCATCCGAAATCCTCTAAACATTGCTTTCATTTGATAATCACACCTTTGAATGCACTAGCCTTATTTGGTTTGCCATTCCAAACGAAATGGGGCGTTGTTTGTAATGATGGAGTCTTAAGCGTTTGTGACCTGGAGAGCACACAAGTACAGCAGAACGGTTTGAGAATTCCTTTGGTGAAGACAATCGGTTAAAGTGTTCTGGATATTTCTGTAATACCGTCTCTCCCACTCTCTTAACCTCCCTCTCCGGTGCTGAATGAGTGTTGCAGAAAATCGTCCACCTTAAGCCTGAGGTTCCTAGCGTTCGTGCAGTCTTGCAACACCCCCTGTCGGGCTGCGGTAGAACTGCACGTAGTTAGTCAATAGTTAATGGCAGGGAAACGGAGAACTGCTATGTTCAAGCCGGTTAAATATGTATATGTCTGATTTGGTGATCTGACTTGTTGTTTGTAGCAAACGTTCCTCTCTTTTTCGACCAGGCACGGCAAGGGGCAACTTCTCATCAAGAGGCTAATGAGACCCGGAATGTTTCAAGATGTCAACATTACGTCATTTTCTTTGTCTGAAATAGATTACATAGATTTTAGACCGCATAATACCCCCCCCCCTCACCTAAAAGGAGAACGAACTGATATTGAAAGAGAGTTCCCCATTGGGCTGACAGTACACGGTGCCGCAAACGTCGCCATCAAGTTGTGTTTGTGTCATGGCTGTGACGTCATCAATGACGTTGCAGCAGCACCCAGTCACGTGATGATGTCTCACACGTCGCTCCCTGGTGTTAGTAGATGTGTCCCGAAAGATCCAGCTCTCAGATTGTTCTCAGCACCCAAAAAAATCCCGTGGATATGCAGTGACCTTCTCGGTCGGTGTGGTTTGAGTCAAGGTCACTTTCTTTACAAGTCAAGGTCAGACGCTTCTCTTGGGAGACCCTTTACATCCGTCTGCGCTTGCGCCGTCGTAAAGTTCCCTAAGTTTTGCCGCTGATACTGTAAAGTAAAAAAATGGGGATTTAAACGTATAGTTCTATCTTATGAAATATTTTTGCAAACTAGTGTTTTGGGCACGATTCAATTTGTATATCAGTAGTGTATCTATGATATGATTTTTTTAGGAGCCAGACAGTATATCACTGTAACATGTGCACTTCTATTGGAATTTGGAAACGAAGCTAGACATGATTGTATCTGTGTCTTAGGATATGTACGAAAATTGAAGAAACATTTTGCGATGATTAATTCGAAAATCGTGGACCTTCTGACGCGGACAGGAACTTGACGTAGTTGGAGGGGAACAGGCCTATCCTGCCGCTCAGGTAACCCAGGCACCAGCCGCCATCTTCCCCCTCCAGCACCTCGATGACGTCATCTGCCTCCAAATATAGTTCGTTTCCCTCTTGTGGGTGGTATGGATACAGAACTCTGGCGTATCTTCTGACTGAAGAGATATAAGATAAAGTTAGACGCAAGAAATCTGCAGGTACTAGGTGGCATTCAATGGATGCAATTCACCATAAGATCGTCAGAAGCGTCCATATTCCATGGGCTTTATACAGCTTAATTCAAAACAAAAAAATACATCCTTTCGCTAAAAGTTTTAGGATGCAACGATGCCCTCTGAGCGCTGCAGGGCGAAATATCGCTCTTTTGAAACTTACCGAATGGATTTTAAATGGCTTTCTGTCGAAAGATAAAGCCACACGGCTTACTTTTTATGTTCACCACATGGGATCCAAACGCATTTCCGACCACTGATAGTTACGTAAAACCCCAACATTGTGGTCGCAACTAAGATGTAAAGAGAAGATTGCACTCAACGGACCCAGAAAACCGTTACAGGTTCCCGTTCAAGCTTCCCTTGAGCAAGATTTACATGGTAAAATAGGTGATCACGTGTGGGTGAGGAGCGGATTGAAAAAGCTAAGTGATAAGACTGTGTACAGCACGTAAGATTGTACTGATTGTTCCAAATGAATCCCATGACATTTGAGCACATTCCACAATGGTACTCGCGGCGTGAATTGGAAGTAACGCAAGAGAAGGTGGGTGGAATCCAGACAGCGGTTCGATATAGATGTCTGGGGGAAAGTTGCAATAATATCCGCGAGGGATAAGGAAGGGCTAGATAAAGATATAACGTAATGGAACCCTGAAGTCAAAAGCTAAAGAAGTAAGCCAAAACGAACTCTAAAAAGATCTAAAGAAATCGAATTTATATCCACGGCAGAAGAAGCCCCGGGGGGAAGTCTCTGCAAAGGCTTAGTACTAAGTACATTGCCCCGACGTTAGAAGTCTTTTGTGCCAAATGCCCGGTGGTGAAGGCAAATTGAACTGTGCCAGAATCCAGGCAAGATAAAACACATGGCACTGTAGTTTAACACTGTAACAAGATTGGACCAGGCTGGAAAAGTTTAAACTTTTCGAAGTAACGCAAGTCTGTAGACTAGAATACATAGATTCATTGCGAATTATACATGTTTTTTTTTTATTTAGAACAAAAAAGCCAAATGTTATTACGAAAAAATAAAATAAAAATTTCCTATAAATCTATCTATTGTACCTTAAGCTGTGACTACATTAATACTTACTCCTGCCTTTGTTTGTGGTTCGCCTGATGGTGTCGATGCCTCCTGAGGGTGCCTGTGAGATCGGTTTGGCTGTTGGAACACATTGTTGGCAATACGTTAAGCACAACCATTTATGTTAGTGACATGACATAACATTGGGCTTGAGAATCCGCGAAACCATCCAAAACGTTCCAAGCAACTATAGGAACCAAATTGTTCCGTGGAGTTTAGAAAGTTATTGTCATAATTTCATCCAAATATCACAGTAGAGGAGCCTGAAACGTACAGGGTAATTTGAGATGAGGATGTCTGGTGACTTCTAACGTCTCCTCCCCAAACCTCTCCTCCAGCCGACCCTGCTCCCTCCGCCCCATGTTGTAGTAGAAGGAGAACCGTTTCTTGTCTTCCTTGTTTCTCCTCCGCTGTATGAAGTACACCACCAGTCCCAGACAGATCACGAACCACAGACCTCCGGCAATGGCGCCCACCCAGATCACTACAGTACTGCCGTCATGGCCTCGCAGAGACGCTGCAGGAATATGGTCATGAAAATATTATCAAGTCATAGCATACCCAACTTATATAAACTATCTTGCTTGTTACCATTATATATAGGCCAGTAACGGTAGTAGGGTCCACATACTGTCCAGTGCCAAAGATATTTTCTAATTCTTACCGCAGTACTAAGGTCAATCACCAGGTCCAAAAATTAACCTACACAATCCACTTCACCCCACCTACCCACCTGCTAAATACCATTACATTCCGTCTGACGAATATTGAGATATACGTCCAAATATCATCCAGACCAAAAGCAGTACCTCCATTTTTCATGGAGCTAATACAAATGGGACATTGCCACTATAGCTGAACATTTACCTTTGACGCTAAGTTGAAGTGACTTTACATCGCTCTCTCCAACTTTATTGCTGACCGTGCACACGTACGTTCCTGTTGCGTTTGGCCGCACTCTGTCCAGAACAACTGTGCCCGTGCGCACGTCACGTGTCATCTTACTTGTCGTAGAGCGCACGCGCATGCCATTCACTGTCCACGTGATGTTTGGGGGTGGGTTGCCCTCGGCAACGCACTGAAACTTCACCCTATCGTCTGTATTCACGGTCTGGGAGTCAGAGATGCTGACAATGGTGGCCGGATCTGTTGAAGACAATCATTTACAGAATAATTAGTAGTTTTAAAATGCAATTTTAGGGTGGTAAAACTGGATTTTCAAAGACTATCTTTTCAATGTACATGTAGTAAGTTTAATCAACTCTATCCCATAGCATACTGATGTCTGTGAAGCAAAAAGACAATGTCACTGACATGTAGCCTGTTTTGACGCCTCATGTAGCCTATTTTGAGGCTATTTCAAAATAGCGACGAAATTTGAAATAGTGACGAAAATGTGCAGTATATATGTCAATATCAGCCAGATCTAGCAATGGCTTACTTAATAGTCTTGAGACACGTTGACATCTTGCGATGTTGAAAGCTGTCGACCACGGTTTAGTGATATAAACTGATAAAATTACAATGTGAAATCAACCTTACACAGAACATCCAAGCTGAGAGTGTCGCTGCTGGTCTGAACCACGTGATCAGCGACACATTTGTACACGCCTTTGTCGCCTCTAGTCACGTGACGTATGACCAAGTCAGGCTGTTGCAGATTCCCGCCAGAATACTTGGTGTCGAACTGTCTGCTGTCAATCACGGCGCCATTTCTCTGCCAGTAGATGTTTGTGACGTTGGGCTTCGCATTTCTCACTGCGCATGTCAGGGAGACTGCTCTGCCCCAGGAAGTGACGTAAGGATCAGACGGCCCCACAACCACTGACGGGGGTACTGTAGAAAAGATATTCACATTAGCAAGCCATTCTCTTCTAAGACTTACCAAAGCTTCTACGGGTATTCGGTATCGAAAACTTCAAGTCTTTAAGTTCTTTCTTTCGTTTCCGATCTTCTTATTTCCCACAAAATGATCAGTGGTAGTAATAGTAGTAGTAGTAGTAGTAGTAGTAGTAGTAGTAGTGGTAGTAAGAAGCAGAAGTAGTAGTAGTAGTAGTAGTATTAAGGTCTATAGTAGTAGTAGTAGTAGTACTAAGTATTACTACTGTTAGTATGTAGTAGTACATTTGTAGTACTAGTAGTATTACTACTATTAGTAGTAGTAGTACATTTTGTTGTAGTAGTAGCATCAGTAGTACTAGTAGCAGTGATATAGTAATAGTAGTACTCAAGGGCACTATGGACCGCTAACCCCATGAACATAACCTACCCAATACCCTGAGATCAACAAACGCCTCTTCACTCGGAAGTCCCTCCGCGGATACTGTGATGATGTACGTCCCTTCGTCATTCTCCGTGACGTCATCAATCATCAGAGACGCTTTCCCGTCAAGCCTTGCGCGTCCGTTATATTCCCCGTGGGCCGTGGACGAGTCGAAAGGAGGCCAGTAGGTAAAGACGGAGGTTCTCTTAATCTTCTCCACGGAGTCCACTTTGCTCCATTCAATAGAGGCAATACGTTTCGTGGTGGCGTAGTCAGCTTCCAAGATGGCGGAACTCCCTATGATAGCTTCCACGTAGTCTGGTACGTTCAAGCCGATAGAAGACTGCGCCCAGCAACCTACAAGAAGAGACCAAACATTTTTGTAACGTATGATGCTAAATCCTCCTGGGAATGTGGGAATATCCGAGTCGCCTAGACGCAATAAAATGTTTACAGACAGTCTATAAATCATTTTCTCTAGGGACCAATTAAAGTTTATTAGATTTGCAGCGATGGTGGTGTTATTTATATACAGTGTCAGATAACGTGTCAATGTTCATATGTACGTTTCAGTTGTGCATGTGCGAAGCGGTAGATGGCGTGGTTCACCGAGAAGCAAATATTTGAGATTGAAAACCGTATGCACGATGACTGTGTATGCTTGTACACGAGTTCTTCTTCATGAATGCCCCTGTGCCGTCCTAATATCTATATGATATATCATCCCTACGAAGCCATTAAGGGCTTTAATTGATAGTCCATACGGTTTGGGTTATAAAGTGAGTTTTCCCACATGTATTCTGCTGCGCACATCCTCCCTCCAAGGGCTCGTTACTACCTCGTCAAGGCGGTTATTCACAGCTTATCAATGCTCAGTAATATAAAGGCATATCCCGAGGCAGGATATGCACATGATATATTCACTGTTTGATGAACAGCGCACAGTCGGACCGTATCTCCGTCACCCTAAGGCGTGACAGGTATCGTTTGGACAACACGTAGATTGACGAAACTTGTTACAAAGGACAATTTGAAGTTTTCTAATTTGGCCCGTAGGTACAAGAAGTCGGCTCTTCCAAGTAATAACTAGGAGTAGAGTAGAATCCAGGGTCAGGACCTGCTACTTTTTCAGACATCAAATAACGGAGATTTATATAGATATGAATTATTACAGGCTGGTTCATCAGAAGGGAGTCTTGCCCAAGGGCAGCGTGTGTGCGCGATGCGTAGATCATGAAAGAACAGAAATGACAACAGAAATAGTAACCATGGCCTTCAGACAGTGACAAATAGAGACGTCAACTATCAAACATAGGGGCAAGAGGAACAATGGCATTGAACACCATTATCTACGTTGCTCACTGAAAAAGGCCTAAGCGAAGGGCTGTTAGAACACACATATTGGATATCAAACCAATATAACCAATATTTCCCCAGTAAGAATATATAATTTACGAAAGAATTGTCATTGACTCATCTCAAAAATGAGAGGGCAACCCCTGTGTTATAATAAGTTCTACTGGGATACAGCAGGGTTTCACTCTACAATTGTCAGAAATATAGATGAAGTACACAGCCGGCCCTCCTGTGGCGGCCGTGACTCCTGCACATCAGGGAAAGGCGGATCAACCAGGCGCTTCTGTATTGAAACTTTATCACAACATGCCACTCTGGAGATCTACAGGAATCAGCTCTGATCATCCGCCTTCATCCTGGACCGAGTTTTATAGCTGTTCGACCGCACATGTATTAGTAGATGCACTTAATGTGTGCATGGCGGCGGGAGGGGGGGAGGGTACAGACCTCGGTTTTAGAAACAGGTTACTTTTTTTTTGCCAAATCAAGGTTATGACGTCGTTATAGTGGGGCATTATTGAATATGCATAGTGGTCATCGACCAGTCACTGACATGCAGGACTTGTGGCAGAACCTGTTTATCAAGAATCGGCCTATTCAGCCACCAGAGGTCCTGCCAGCGTGAAAAACCTTCCTGATCTTCGTTCGCTAGGACAAGCCAAGAAGATATTGGTCAGTTCCAGTTTTGGTTGGAAACCGTGCAGATGATCATTCTCAGTGGTCAAAATAGAGGTTCTATCGGACCAATATAACGAAATATAGCGAAGCAACGTCTCCTCTCAGCCTAAAAAGAGTACGTAAGGGAAGTAATCTCATCCGCAATAATCTCATCATGGTAATCTCATCATGGGCTGCTCCCGCTATGTAACGACTGTCGAAATGGAGAGTTCAAACTTTAATCAGAAGATCTCTGAAAATTCTGTAGTGCTGAAGTTTTCGCCTGTTTCCGGATCTCCATCCGCAGGAGAAAGTTCATGGCCGCGGGGTACCTTGGGGCAGCCCTTCCCCCTACTGCTATCCCGTGCTCTTGTGCGGGATTATGGGCTTATTTCTCATATATTCTATTCAGCCTGTGCGATTTGCGAGGGGATACTATCAATACGGGAGGAGGCTGAGTGACGTCTGTATAATCCCCGCGGTTACAAAGCCTTGACGACCAATCAGCCGTGACATCTAACTTTGTTGTCAGACGACCTTGCCGGGTCATCTTTAACGTAGATGAATTGTGATATGACCAGACTGTTAGTGCCATCAATTATCCCCAGGGGTAGCCTGTCACGGCTGTCCACAAACGGACGTGCGCAGTTCCTGATGAGAAAGGTTATCAGACGCCGGGGCACGGGGCTACAGATTCACAAAGCTGATAGTCTGTTGGTGGGACGTTTGTCAACAAAAGGTGTATCGATATAAACTCCCTGGCACTTTTGGTCAATTGTTCCATAGAGTCTCGTGTGAATAAGGTCACGTGTCTGTAACCGTAACTCTCGCGAGATTACGTTTTGAAGTGATTTGTCATTCATTATCCTGATGAAGGCGACAGTGGTCGTTGAAAATTTGATCTCTGTGTAATGCTTATTGGAATTGCAGACTGTTTTTCGTGTTGACCAGCCATGTCCAGAGTCAGACTTAAAGTATTCTGTATTCTGACCACATAGTCTCCAGGTATCCATCTGCACAAGTAGCCAGATCGCTACCGTTTTATTGAAAACGGAAATGCAAAATTACCCATTGAACCAATATGGTTCACTGATTCAGTGGCACGGCAGACTTAACAGGCTATAAAAAAGATCCATATAGGGGTGAAGCACCTATTGTTGATGGCAGGATTACCCTAACTGCACAGGTTCTACAGTACGTCACCCCATATCGCGATGTACAGCACTGTTGCTGTGACTTTGATTGACGTAATGTCCTCTACAGGGCTGAGCCCCCCGATCATTCATCTGTCAGTGTGGGCCCTGAGGAGGCGGGATGGAAACCTTGATGTGACCTGGGCATCCGATACTGCCAATACACAGTCTCCAGAATGCCCTCCTACAAATTGAAACCGGAAAACATTATAACCACACCCTCATATTGAATAGTGTACATTAAGCCGTATACGGCAGCAACTGGACAATTAGTGTTACCTGACATTGGACCCTTTTTTGTCTGCAGATTATAGGGCTTGGAGACCAGATTTTTCAAAGTCAATATTCTAGTCACTTATCCACATTGTCAACACTGTCCCAATGTATATCGACATTCATGGAGCACAAATGCCAAAAATTCTTACGGAATTAAAAAAAACGGTTACTGGAGGGACCTGGATTGAGTTTTAGGGTACCACTCAGAAAAGAAAGGACTATTTAAATCTTGGGGCTTGTTTCTGCAGTATTACATGCCTAAAGTATGAAATACTGATTCAAATGTGCTAATGTGGGAGAAAGTATGTATCAATATCATACAGACTGCCTTATTCAAAATATTTCCAGTTTTGCCGCCTTGAAATTGCATTGGGTGCCTTTAACGCTGAACACGTACCGGGAGTGCACAAATAGAAGATAGATGTTTTATGAGATTCATTTCCGCCATTACGTTCGATTACTTACGCCTTGGGGAGTATGAAGAAACGGGGTTTAATTAACCCATGTTGATGAACTCGTCTTCTGAGATCAATTTTGGCCCTGACATATTCTACTGAGCGTGCATTCAACAATTGACAATCTATAGTTATAATATACTTGTATCATTCAATTTCATGAACTCTGGTGAAATATTGTGACCCCCAGAGTCACCCAAATGAAAACATTTTGATGTAGGGCTAACCGGCGTGTCGGGAAGCCATTATAGCTGGTGTAATGTTCCCAGCTAACCAGCAAGGTCTGACCAAACGGCAGCACAGTTCTTGACAAAGTGGCTTGGCCTTTGATCTCACAAACTCATTACTGGAAACGGCGTCTGATTGATGACCTATAGAAGCCGTGATTTGCCGCATGACCGAAAGGTGAAAAGGGCTGAATTTATTATCTACTTTGCTGTAGTGCCCCAGGGGAGCGGTGGAACATTAAAGTCCATTAAGCATCCAGTTGCCCTTGTTGTTATGCCAACATCCATTGCAATGATGCAATACAGGCATTACACGACTGTAAAGTAAATGTATACACAACATGGGATATCAAAGAAGCCTAACAAGGCACCGGCAGAGTGATTTCTCTCGCTTTTCCGGTTGCATTTGCATGTACATTCCAAGGAGACTATTACTCTTCATCTGAAGGAAACTACGTATGGTCTAATTCTATTTCGTAATAAATAGACGTGAGGGATATCTTAATACTTTATGTAGCAATTAAAGCTAGATTAGCCATTGGTAACTTAGCTTCTATTTCCTTATTCCTTAGTTCAGACTTCCCTTCTCTATTCCATTTCAAGAAGCAGCTTTCTTGCTACGGTTTCTATTATTCTGAAAGACGTCATATCCTTTCTCTTTACATCCTTTGGGATGTAGAATAAACCGGCACACTTCATTTCACACACCTCAGTGCGCCCTCCAATGTGCTCCATGACTTTGCCACCCACACTCCCATTGCAAAGGCCACCACAGTCAATGTGTGCTGAAACTCTCTTTGCATCTAGTTAGAGAATAATACTGAGAAATCTGATGCAGGACCACACTATATAACCCATCTGGCCAGAGGACATAACCCCACTTTATCCCGTGCTGAGCTGAGAGGAGATAAATATTTCATTTACGTCCGTAGCCTTCAGAGATACGACCGGACGGAGCTTATCTCCGCATCTGCAGCGGTTCTGAATACCCGCCTGCACAGGGAGGTCTCATGGAGTCCGGGTCAGAAACCAATTCTTCAAGCTCTACAGCTACGCCTTGCCCATTGACAGTTGGTTAACTGGAACAAACGCCTCACCGATGCACACATTGCTTCACAGTGGCAGCGCGTCGCGTCTGAGTGAACTTGGTCAGGAACAGGCCGGGTGATTGGCGACATGACACACGATCACCT